ACCGAGCTTATCGCACTTTTAAACGAAAATTTCCAAATCACCCATTCCCAACCAAACCCGGAACAGCCCGCGAATATATCAATCACCCGGAACATACCAAAACGAAAAATTTTTTTGAAATCACCTTACCCTCATTTCCGCAATATACGTTAAATAACCTAACAATACTAACGACAGACGCAATTTTGTTGATGAGCACGTTTTAATGCCAACACTTCATTGGACAGCTTATTATGATTTTAGTAACCGCCTTTGCCTACCATTAGCTAATACTCATGACAGTATCGAGAAGAACAAAAACATGTTATATAGACTCACCACAACACTAACACCTCGACAATTTACTTACGTTGGATATAAAAAGTTATTAAATGCATTCACTGCACCCCGAGCTAACGAATTGGCTATAGAATACTACGACCATAATAACATCCGCCCTAATCAAGATCAATTTTTAGATGAAGACCGCTTCGCAAACCCGCAACTAACAGAAAAATTTTTCATCAAAACATCATACGTATTCACACCTAATATTTTTGATAGAAAGCATGATCACATTATTTCAGAATCACTAGTTGATATTCAAGCAAACTAGAGCTTCTATGATAAGTTTCAGTTATTTTCACTAACCTTTCACTTTCTTTCACCACAGGAACGCATTTGCACTGTTCCCACGATATTATGTTACGCACTAAACAAACGCACACATATACATAATTTCGTTTTATACAAAATCATTTTGATTTACACACCCCATCAAGACAACCTCACCATCGTTTTCAGTTTCTTAACTCAAAATACACGTCACCATTCTTCATTAATTTTACATATTGCATTTAAGATACTAACCTCCACGGCATCCTCCGCAACTAAGACCCAGTTACCCAAATGTATATATTCTGTCCCATCACAAAGACCTTCAATGCCGAAGAATCCGGACCCTTCCTTTTCCCGCATGAAATTATCCAGCCTATCGAAATACACATATTAGAATTCATTCACAATACTAAATATAATCATAAAATATATAACCTCATCCAAAACACACCTTACGAGTTTGCAGTAGGCACCGAAGAACTAAACACCATCAATGCACTTCAATTGCTTTGGCCACTGCTACAAACTTAAAACATCATACGCATACTAGCCAAATTACTAACAACATCAGACATGATTCACGACATCTTCCCCCACGGCTTTTTCCCAGAAGATTAAGGTGAGTATAATTTGAAATACTTTTAACTAATAAATTTAAATTTGTACTAACCATTATCTATCAATGTTTGTTTCTACTTTTAGTCTTCACACCACAATCATCTACAAAAAAAAAAAAAAAACTTTTTAAATTATCTTAAAATTCTTTAGTTTCTTGCACTAAATAATGTAGTAAAATTCATACCAAATGTAGTAATTTTATTTATAAACTATTTCCCCATGAAGCAGTAAACTTAGTTACGATGAAAATTTATAATTTTAAATTTCCCCAAAACGCAGTAAAATTCAAATTTTATGCAATAAATTGATAAAATGAGAAAGCAGTACTAACCTATTCTTTATTTTCATTCATTCGCACAAGAATTCTATCCAAACTCGCACAGCTCGCCCACGAAGAATTGCTTAAATAATGATTCTAAGTTTCAAGTTTCACTATCAACAACTCTAACACACGATAACAAGTTTCAAACTTTCCTTAACCCGGTGGGAAAGGAATTATACACTAAACCAAACTAACCTACGCAGCTTACTAAACACAACAAATCAGAAAAATAGCAACATGATTAAGAAAAGAAAACCAACGGTACCCAAACCGGATTAACCCAGTTTGAAACTGGATAATTTATTCTTTTGAAGACTATTATAAAGTCTAAGAAAGAGATAATAAAACACAAAAAAAGTCGCAAGACAAACCCACACCAAAAACAATTTGATTTTTAAAAAAAGGACACAACAAAAGTAACATAAGAAAGACCAACATAAACCCAACATAAAACGTTATCACATAACAGGACCTCTCAAAGAAACAGCATGCAATCATACTCCCACTCCTGGCCTAACCCACCAGAGAGGACGTCCTGAGCACGCTCTATAGCCGGCTTAACCCACCGCGCTAATCCACGCTTTGTGACCACACTTCTATTTTTAATAAAAGGTACTCAAGGTTGAGTAACTCTTCAAAATAACCGAACTAAAACAAAACGCTTTTGTGAAAACGACTAACTAATTTCATGGTTAAAAAACCGAATTAACATAATTTTATAAAATGTAAATCATACTTTGCAGTATATAGATCATACACAAAAACAAAGACGAACATCCAAAGACTAGATGATCCCATCACACTCGAATAAAAGAATGGCTAAACACAACCGACATGCCGTCCACAATCACGACTCAAAGGATTTAGAGTACGACTTGACTTCGCAGAAAAGGACTTCATTAAACTAGACCAATGACCACCTCGATGTTCAAGTTTACGTACAGATCCGAGTTACAAGGCATCCCTTCCACACACGATCTTCACGCCATTCCCAGACGAGGCTGCACACAAAACAGTTCTCTACTAATACAGAAAAACCTGACATAGCAAACCATTTTGAAATCGGATTGATTTCATTGGGGATCACAGTCGTTGTCGAATGACAAAGTAATAATTTCCTGTTCCTAATTCTAGCGTCCTGGAACGTTCTTCTTCAAGAGGAACCGGATAAGAAAATGATGTTTGCCAAATACCAACGTTCATCATCCATCCTTCAAATTGCAGAGAAGAAAGATAATTCTAAAAAACTCTGTAAACCCCGGATGGGTGGAACCTGATCTAAACTACATTTTATTATTGGATAAATTAGTTATTTTAACACTATAAAAATTTTAATATTAACCAATCATATTCCATCAAACTAACAACCCGCTTATTTGTAAGTGCTGAAATTACTTGTAATTTCAGCACCAGAGAGATTTGAATTTAACTTATAAATTAGTTACCTCTCCAAGAGAACTTCAGCAGTAGCAATAAGCCAGTATACTCTAGATCTATTGAGCCTTGCAGAGACTAGTTAAACACCCTGAGACTAGTAGATATAAGAGTAAGATTAGGATCGGTATTAGACTAAGAAGTTGCACGAATCTATTCGGCCGAAAATAAGATAGCGTGACGAGCAGACGGTGTACCCTATCCGAAATTACTCTATGAGTTAACCACAACAGTCTAACTCATCTGGTGCGACCATAAGTCTCAAATAAGACCTTAATAGCTTAGAATTAACCAACTATAGATTAGAAATTAGACAAAACATTTTCAAAATGTTACACGATAATAACTTAATTGAAATGTCTCTACGACTCAATAGATCAGAGCCGATATTCCGCACAATACTAGAACTACCCGGTATAGGAAGAAGACCTCGGAAAAGAGACGATATACGACTACGTAGAAACTTACCATTTAGTTTCATGGTTGTGCGGCAAAAGCCAACACAAACTTTTATATTTAGAATCTTATTAGCAATGAATTTAGATTTTCATTTGCAAATATAAAAATTTGAAAAAAAAATCTTCGTGATTATTTCAGGCGCTAAACAAAATTATTAATGTTTAATAACGATTGATAACAAGATCTCAGATCGTTCCCTTAATTTCTGCAGTATTATATAAAACAAATTTGAAAAATATTTATTAAAAATAAAAATAAAAATTAGTAGCATGACAATAAATAGTTAGTAATATAAACCATCCTGTTGTTCCAGCTTCATCAACTAAACATAACAGCATTCATAAGCTCACTAACATCGTTTAAAAACTAAAACTTTTATTAAATAAATCCAAATCATCTTAAACTTAAATTCACTTAATTTTAAATTAGATCATCAAGGCTTATCCTTGGATCTTTATAAATTTTGTATCTCATTAATTTTGGGTTTAAATTTCAAGAGAATGCAAAAAGTAAAAATCAGTTTGTTTAAAATTCGAGCAGGCTGTGCGTAATACAAAAAAATTGGAAATTTTGCAGAAAAATTTTAAGAAAATTAAAGTTTTTCAAATTCATTATAGTCCATCATCAGGGATTTTAAATGGATTTTAAACAGTTTTTTTTCTCGAAAAAAAGGTTTATAGTGGATTTGGGTGGTCCCAAAGTGTAATTTTAATATGTAATAATGGCAAAATTTTTGACCTCGAAAAATTATCGATTATTATCTATGAAAGCTGGCTCCGGGTATGCACTGTGTGGTTTTTGATTCAGTTAATTTTCGGCTGTCGAAATAGTAGTTTATAACAAAAACAAATTGATGCCCCAGTGAAGATATCGACACCCTGCATAAAAAAAGGATTTTTTTTACCTTTGATCGTTTTTTGCAAAGTTCTGGGAGTTGGAATATAGCCAATTTGTCCATGCTCTGGTCTAATTTATGCGCTCTTTGAAGATTTTGATCAAAATGCTGAAAACTTAACGCGGTTAATTTATGCATGGCAAATTTTTCCGAAAAACAAAATCATTGCAAATTGAATTGGTGCAAGCTAATCGGTCTTATTTATCGGTGCAAGCTAATATTTTCACACTGGATCTTCGATATTGTCAAAAAAAAAATTTAGAGACCAATTAATTTGCAGTCGGAACATTCAAAGTTGTGCTTCGATACTGTCAAAAAATTGCAGTTTTCCTTTTTTCTCTATCAAAAACTTTTCGAGACCAATTAATTTGTAGTCGGAACATTCAAAGTTGAAAACTCAAACTCGTTTCTTTAGTAGTCTACAACAAATTTATCAAGGTTTAGTTAAACATATTAAAAATAAAAGCGATTATGAAACTGGGGCTCTTACAAAAAAATATTTGCCTTTGACTTGTGAAATATCTTTTAAAGTCAATGAAAAATGAATTAGTTGTAAGCTGATCATTATCACCATTCAAAAATTCCCCCAGTTTAATGAAGAGAAATATCAACAAAAAGTCTAACTCAAATTCTTTTGATCATTTCTAATCAATGTCGTGATAACATTGACAAATGGCCTTTTCAAAAGTTCAACTGTTTAAACGCAAATATCTTGGTAGCATCGTTAAATTCCACAGATTTTGCGTTCACCACCTAAAAAGTTCACCAGTATTTAATTGTATTGCTAAATTCGACGGCTAAACTTTAATTCTTTGACTTGTAACTGAAAAAAAAACATGAAATGCGACCCTGAGTTCTTTTATAATTTTTATTACCTAATTGGCCCATTGCACTTTACTATTATAAATACCGAAGTTCTGAAATATTTCGTGACTTTTATGAAAGTTTTCAACTTATTTCACGTGCCTTTTCTGATTTTACTTCCGTTTTGCATGAACAGGTTGAGAACATCCTGTCGGAAAATAATTTCGATGATAGTTTTGTCGGATAGTTTGATAACTTCTTCGGTTATAATTTTGGAGAAGTTTGGAATTCATTTTCATGAGGACAGTTATAAGACTCCTTGTTTTACTGTAAATCTACTTTTGGACGCCGTTCTGCTTTGGTCCCAGTTATGGTCAGTTTTTAAAACGAAAACCGATTTTGATAAATTTTTAAAATCTTCCACCAAAGCTGGTGGTATTCTGCGATAATACGCAGTCGGAATTTATCAAGATTTTGAATACCAGTAGGAAATAAATCAAATAAAATGAAATCAATATAATCCTTGAAAAAAAATTATAATTTTGCTTAAATAAATTACAGTTTTTAAAGCAGTTGAACATTTTTTTTTGGCAAAAAATCTGCGACTTGGGAAAACTTTCAGAAAAATCTGCTCAAATGCCTTGTTAGTCAGTTTTTAAATTGGAAGACTTTGGCTAAAAATGGTGCCTCTAGGAAACTTATAAGTTTGGTTGACAAAACAGGGATGATGTTCTTAGGAATAAAGCGACCGATCCCCTCACACACCCACCTCCAGGCCATCTCTCCCAGTAGTCTAGTATTTCTAATTTTGTTTCCGCTTCTCAGTTATTGATCTCATATTTAACATTTCAGGTCACTGACCTTGATCGTTCACGTGTTCCTAATTCTGAACCCGCGTTTCGAAATGACCTCTAGAAGAACTCCGATATTCCTCATCTACAACCTAATCGTGTGGCCCTCGGGGCTTTTGCTCCCCCTTCTTACTTCTGGTCTGTTTTGGTACCCAATAACGTACAGCAACACTTACATCGCAGGGGACACTTGTCGGGGTGAATTCGAATTCGAACTCAACGATGATTCAACTGAATGCTTGCTAGTCGGTAATAGTAAAATAATTTGGCTGATGTATTATGTTGGTATAGTTGCGATCCTCGTAGCCGCGATTTTCATGTTTTTCTTGGCGTTAAGAAGAGCTTCGAAACTTTGCAAGAAACCAAAGAAAAGCAACATCGGTATTAATTCTTCAAGTGAACTTTTTGACGAGTATCATGAGTCGATTGGTTGCAACCACTCTCAAATAGTTTGGAAGACTACTTTACGACTTTCAACTGCCGCTTTTGTTTATATACTATCTGTAGCGCCTTCGGTCGCTTTTCGGGTCTACGAAATCTTTTACGGGCCGATTAAACATCAAAAACTTCGAGGAGTTTCCAATTTATGGCTTCAATTAGCGGGCTATTTAATTGGTGCGTCAAATATAATCTTCTACGGGTATTTTAGCCCGTTATTTCGCCTGGAAATACTCAGAGTCAAAGACTTCGTGTTGATACACGTGATGAACATTTTGTCGTCGGCTATCGGACAGAAGAATTGGCGGAAAAATCCATCAGAGTATGACGTAATATTCGACTCGGATCCGATGACGTCATCAGATACTGGTTACAGAAGTGGAGCTACAAAAAGTTGGACTCTAAGATAATGCATTTGTCCAGAAACAAAAGCTTTTTTTATTGCAAATTTTAAGCCAAAAATATTTTCAGACAGAAGTGAAACTTTTAAATTGGTATTACAAAAATACATCTAAAAAGTAGCAGATTTGGAATCCCGGGTTAACTTTGATGGACTGAGACTTCCCGAGTAATAAAGTTTCAAATGTTCTAAGAATCTTGTAAGAATCTCGTGAGCCAAAAGCTTGTAAGAATCGCAAACGAATTTTATATGAAAGCAAATTCTGATAAAAGTTTCTTAAGAGAAAATGAAATATAATTAACTGTTTTTGGTAATTCAGTCCCGGGTCGAGATGCTCGATTTATGTCTTGACTTTCTCGACGAAAAAGCGGTGTATTTCTAACGTCTCGACCGAATTTAGGAATGTTTCGACTTTCTCGACTAAATTTTGGTATGTTTCGTTTATCTCGACCCAACATAGAAGTTTTCGACTTTTTTCAAGCCAGTTCAGATTTGTTTCGAATTTTTTTACCAAAATTCTTTTTTTTCTTGATTTTCTCGACTGACATTTTTTTAAAATTATTTTTTCGATCCCACATTACAATGTATGCTAGTCTCTAGCCTGCTTTTAGCAGTACCTCGCAAAGAGACTATAGGAATATGTCTCGCTCAACATGACAGACACTTGTGGAAATTGTAGTTTCTTTAAATGAAAGTTCTATAGACATTTAAACATCTTCAAAAAAAAACTTTAAAAATAGATGGATGGGTTCGAGTTTGAATTGAAAAATAATCAGTGCACGAAAGTTTATAATGGTCCAGTAATCTGATTAAAGTTGAAAATTAAAAAAAATCGTAAATTCGAAAGTTGCAATAGCTGATGTGTCAAAAGCCATATGCTCGAAATTCAAAAGCCATATGTCTCTAGAGTAAATTCATGGTTCAGGGAAGGCAAAGTCTTACAGGAGTCTTAATATGTTTTGAAATCTTCCCAAACCGAAACCAGAATTTGAAAAATGTGAGATTCTAACAAAATTTTGAATTAGTGCTGACCTGATATACGATTTATAGTGAGATTTGAATTGCACCATAACCCGGTAACTTATCATATATTTTTTTACGTGATGCCTATGATAAAAAAACTTCTAAGGCAGTTTCCTTTTCTGGAATTTTTTGAACAGAATAGTTTCCCACTAATAGGCCAGGCTTGATGAAATGGATCGTGCAAGAAATCGATTGCTCAGGCTCTCTTGTATCTTTAAAGAACCAGCATTTCAAAGTTTTCAAAAAGCGAAACCAATGATTTCAGGTACGAGAAAATTTATGAATAACTTTTTATGAGTGGCCACAAAAACCGTTTTGAAAAATCCGAAAAAAATGTTGGCTGTTTTTTGATTTATGAGATTGTTCATCACTACATGCAGAAATACGAATAGTGGCAGGAAAAAATTTTTTGTACGAAAGGACTAATGTTAGGATATTGTAAGAAACCAGCATTTTCTTATCCGTTTGATAAGAAAATTTTGTCTGTCGGAAAAACAAGACACGGTTTCGAGCAACTGAAAACAAAATTTTCAATTCTCATACGTTAACATACGTAGTTTTGCAATTATATAAAGTTTTGGAGATTACGTGACCGAACTGTGCATTTTATGCATTGTAAGTCGATTCCACAACAGGCCAAAACCAGACTTTTTGAGGAATCCGCATTATTTCTACTTTTCTTTGATCTTCTGTGCTGTTATGGATTCCACAAACAAAAACCTAAAACACCCTCTCACTGAAATTCGCTCCAAAAATAGGCAAACTTGCGGAAACCGCTGCAGTATTTGTGAAAACCGGAACAATTTGTGGAACCATCAAACAAATTCTTGAAGATGTGTAGAATTAAAACGAGATGTTCTGAAATCCGAATTTGCAAGTATAAAAACGCAAATTATGAGCAAAATTGGCAAATTAAAAGTGGATTCTGCAAATTGTAAGTGGAATTCATTTTTGTTTGCTGCTTTCATTTTTATATATGAATATATGTAGCAGCGCTTGAAATTATATCTCTCATTCACCAGTTAATCACCGGCAGAATGGTCGTAGAATAAGTTGAATGTAGCCCTGATATTAACAATATAATTTTTAAAATTCTCAACTTGAAAGTTTTCCGAATCAAGACATTTCGTGATATTTTTGATATGAATCATTTATACACAAATTAGTTTTCAAACTAGTACGTGCTATCTGCATCATGGACATGTCGTGTCTATCATAATTGCTTTTTCGAAGGACCACTGTATCATAGTAGTACCCAGAGTGTACACTGGGTGTGCTTCACCATATCTCGAGTACTACCCTCAAGATTTGACTTCACATTCGACTCATCTCAAAAACTGCCCTCATGATTTCAATTCATTCTCCACAACTCAGAATTCATTCAGGATTTGGGATTCGTGGAATACAAATACAGACCTAATTTAGCAATATGTCGCGGAAAGTTTTTCCATACACGCTCAACTCACTAACTCCAAATAATGAACTGTTTTGGTGTTGTGTTACCAAAACTATGTAAAAAATTGCTTGCTGTGATATGTATCACAATTACAATGGGATGACGTCCCCAAGATTAGTTAATGAATGTTATAAGTCTTGTTTTGCTTACGATGGCTAAGCCCTCGCTTTTGAAATCCGCATTGCTATAGATAAGAATTCCAGCTCAAGCATTTAATTGCTCCTTGCAAGTTCAGTAATGAACAAAATTCGGAACTACTTACATTTGCGGAGTTTATTTACATTTTGAGGAACCCACTCACAGTTGCGCAATCCCGAAAAACTAAAACTTTTCGCTTGTTAGAGTTCGCGACACAACACAAGTGCCGACAAAAGGTGGAATCCACCTCCAATTTGGAATGATTTAAGACTTATCTCTGGAATCCAGGAAAATACAGACAGAAAACTGTGCGCCTATCCAGTGCACAAATTTGGATATAGAAAATACAACTTATCCAGTCTTCAGTTTTTGTCCATGGAATTTGTTCTGGGATAACTAAAAAAGTATATAGGAGCTGAAGAAAAAATCTCTTTGGTTTAAGTAAGTGCTAATCACCAAATTTCTTCTACGGACAAAATTTGTTCAACAGTCCTTCATTTGAGAAAACCTAGCCTTAAATTAAAATTTATGTGCTATTTTGAAAGAAATTAGTCATAACATGCTAATGCTATAGGTTTTTGTTGTTTTTGAATTTGTTTTAAAAAATGACAAGCCCTTTGGCACAGTTTATTTTTTCAGTAATGGTCAACCGGGCACACAGGACATTTTAGGGTTCAATAATCGTAAATAAAAGAGTTCTTGGAAAAACATAACTCAACAACCTGCGTATATAATTTCAAAGCTGCCCGGGTTGACCAAAAATGCTTATTCTACAATCTTTATATATATATATATATATATATATATATATATATACACAATTCCATAGATACGGAGAATGTTGAGAAAAACTCTAACTCTAAGATAAGAATTTTTTCATAAATGAAAAGTGTAGGATAATCATTTTTTCATAAACCAAAAAATTGATTTTTTTCTAAATTTTATTTCTCAAGTTTTTTGGGATGTATTCGCGACCGAACACAAGTGACTAAACCCATGGTGTACTCATCACTTGAGTTCCCAAAAAATTGCTCGTCTGTTATTGACAATGCAAGGGAAACGATCTGAATTGTAAAAGTGATGTCTACACAAATCATATAGTGAAAGCATCAAACTTTTAAATTTCGGCAAAAGTTTCGTGTGATTTCAAACTGAATACGTGTGATTATGGCTAAAAACGTTTTTTAACATTGAAATTCAAATGTAGAGGGGGGAATGTAAATGCGGAAGCGGAAAAATGTAATGAAACTTTGCTTAGTGAAAAAACTAGTTATTGTGAACAAATTTGTTTATCGTACTTTACATCTTAATATCACTTGTTCAACCATACCCGGGTTGGCCAAAACTTCTGATCATACAATTTTCATATATGAGAAAATTCTTGTCATACAATTTCATACAATTTCATACGTAAAGAAAATTGTATGAAAACTCTATGATAAGCTTTTTTCCATATATGAAAATTGTATGATAGGTTTTTTCTTTGTGAATTAAGTTTCTGTAAAGTTTTCGGTTGTGTTTGCAACCCAACACAAGTTACAAAGACCTTGGTTACTCAAAACACCAAAGGTTGGACGGTCTTGCATTTACAATGCATAGAAAATGACCTGAATTAGGCTGTCTTTCACACAATTCATATAACAAAAGTAACAAACTTTTATTTTTTGGCAAAATTTTTTAATGATGATTATTTCAAATTTTTGAATTTTCAAATTATCAGACATTGATCAAGGCACACATTAACACCCCATACAAAAGAAATAGGAATTTTCAGCGCTTTTGAAAAAAAATTTAAGTGAAAAGAAAATAAAAGCCAATTTTATCGTATCCAGGACTACGTTATGCACACAAAATATTAAATTTTGCATGCAAAAATTTTTTTTCGAAAAATGTTTGTTTGAGTACAAAACTCGATTTGCGGTTGAAAAAAAACTAAAATTTTTTTGGACCAAATTTTCAAAAATTACTTGGTGTCGCCATCAAAAAAATGCCAGTCATACAATTTCCATATATGGGAATTGTATGATAAGCATTTTTTTCAAAAAGCTAAAACCTCAGTTTTTTATCATCAGACTGTTTTATTAGAATCAAACAGCCACAGAGATAAGTTTATACCAAATTTCAACCATTTTTAGAAATCGTATGACAAACATTTTTCCACACACTTGATGTATGGAATTGTATGATAAGCATTTTCGGTGTATGGAGGTCAACCCGGGTAATCACACGTAAATTATCGAAGAAAAAAATTATGCTGTGGGTGAAAAATGGAATAGAACCAAGTTGCCTTCAAAAAACCGAAGTCCAAAGAAAGTAAATTTCAGTATATAATTATCTAGCTTGGCTACACCGGCTTTTTCGTTTCATCACTTTTTCTTTTCATGACTTTGCTCTTGACAAGGAATTGTGACTTTGCTCGTTTTATGCATGTTTTTGCGGTAACCCAAAGTCTGGCCTGGCTGTTGCAGATCTTGTTGCTAATTTCGCATTAAAGAATGTTGCTTAGAGGGTTGTTACGTAGCAGTTTCTTTCTAGGGCTGCTCCATTAGCGTTACTTTTGGCGTTCGCTTTTTCATACTATTATAGGTGC